GCGGGCCCCGCGGGGCATGAAAAATCAATGCCCCGCACATCTCTGATATGTTAGACGATACTAATATTTATAAAAAATCTTACAAAACTTATAGCATAACCATACCGAACAAAAATATAAACTTGTAATATTTCCAAGTGACAATACATTTTCTATTTTTAATAATAAACAGTGTTCAAATTTAGAACATGATGGATTAATTACTGTACAAAGTGGCAGTAAAAAATATATGGCAATGGTTTTCAAAGTAGGTATCAGATGAACGTGAAGTTTTTTTTAAAAAATGTGAAAAGTTATCTTTTGTCTATTTCTCTTTCTACTATAGGTACAATGGCTGAATTACATGAAGCACAAAAATTATTAGGAAAAGCTATGAATATTGTTAAGTGTTACAAACATAGAAGAAAAATATTTAAAACAAATATTAATGGGACAAGAAAGACAAGAAAATATGATTCACATGTTATTTGCAAATTAAAAAAAAATACAAAACGCCTTATGTAAAAAAAGGTAAGAGGAGTCACTTTCTGCAACAGCTAGACAGATATTGGGGTAAAAAGTCTCATTTTGGGCTAGTTTCTTCTTATCGTGTATTGCGTGATTAAGAATAACCTAGAAAATATTACGGTCTGGAATCCTTTTTCGTAAGTTACTAGGGCTACAAGTTTCAAAGGCTATCTAGAGTGAAAATCTAAAAACGTATTCTAGTAAAATCATGCACAAATTAACGGTGCATTTTTAAACACTAGCACGGTTAAAGACTGACTATTATGGACATGGTTTTTATATTTATTTCTTTCTGTTTAGATATATATACTATTAGAAGAACCCAATGTAGAACAACCAGTTGAAGAAAAAACATTTGAAACAATAATAGTACGTTCAAACAGCTTTAAACAGAGTAATAACATGTGCAGAAAGAACTTTTGAAGCAAATGTTTTTTGATGCCCTTTTTTATACTAATCAATTGTTCATAAGATTTGTTTTCATTTTTTAGATGTATAAAAATCCCAACGATGGAAATGATGTTGATTTATTATCAATAACTGGTGTTAAACAAAAGATGAATTTATATGTAACATCATTAATTGATATTGTTTTTACACATGAAGAATTATTGGAACTTGATGCAACAAAAATCAAATTTAATGATGGTTATAAATTAATACAAGGTTTGACTAAGAATTTATTTTATCTTGTTTGTTTAGCACAAATAATCTCATATATTGTTTATCGTATCTTTTTTTTAGAAGCTGTACGAAGTAAATTTCGATTATTAGATGATATTTTTAAACCTGAATGGTATAATTTACATGAAACATTTTTAAACAAACGTCGGGATATTAAAAAGGGTTTAAGAAAACAGGAAACTACAGTTCAAACAAATCCATCAGCACAAATCTAAAACTTTATATATTTTTTTTACGAGAACATGTATATATCAACATGACTGATACGGTCTCAACTAATTTATTTTTTGCATTTTTGCTTTTCTTATATGATTAACATGATAAAACCTTTTTTTTCTTCTCTTATTTCTCCATTTTCTTGCTTATTATACGCTTCGAGCATGTAAAAAAAATATAAAAATTAGTGAATAATAAACTGGATTCAGCACGATATCAAAGTGCTCAAATTCAACAATAAAGCAAAAAAACAAAAAAAAAGGATGAAGTTGGGAGTTGATCCACTGTCTTTGGTTTCTCAAGGCACTAATATAGCAGTAATTTCCTGTCGGGATCCCGATATTTTTCGTGGGATCTCGCGAGATCCCGCCAGATCCCGGCGGGAAATTGCCGGGATGAAAGACATGGGCTATTACAATGACAAAAATGTAACCAATTAAAGGAAATAAAAAAACCACCAATTCTGCATATAGTGTCTTTTATGAATTTCTAAGACTGTGTTTAAGTTTCTGCTAATGGGCCTGCATTATGTAATGGGAATAATAACGGTGCTGGAGACAATGTAGATGATAGAGATATATGAATAAAAGCCTCCGAGTCTTCTATTCTGTTTTATCGTTCACAAGTTACAAGGGAATCTTCTATTATATCCCTTAAAAAAAGTCATAGTTTTAGCTACTCTGTATGATATTATTTTTATAAGTCTTTTTGTGCTGATTGTGTTTTTACTAAACGTTTATCTCATTTTTCTATGCGAGTACAGTTAACAAAAATAGTCTATATGCTATCACTAAAGAACATTTCACAATACGAGTATCTGCATTATAAAATATACTAAATCACACAAAATACGATTACTTGATACTTTTTAATAAGAACTTATTTCACAGAATAAAAGAACTCTCTCATAAAATGCTCTTGTTTCATACAATCCATTAGAAAAAAATTAAGTTTTTTGGTCTTCCGACATATCTTTCAAGGTGAGCTGTCTATGTTGAGGTTTCATTCATTACTGAACTTGTAATTTGTTCATCTCTTTCGTAATAAGATTCTTGATCAATGTAATTATGATCGATATTGAATGGCAGTAGATGAGAATATGTGATTACATCATTATTCATAAGAGATGTTTTTTTTCCTTATTCAGTTATGAAAATAATCATATAGTTGACTGTTCATGAAAAGAGAAGAATATAAATGAAAAATAATCGAACTTAATTATAAGAGAGGGACAAGATGTGTTTTGAGCAGCACAAATTAAGACAAAACAGTATCAAATTAGTTATATGGGAAAAGAACACTAAATGACAAAACATATATAAAAGTAATCAAATATATCTTAAATCAATTGAGACTGCCATATATATGTATATAGCTAGTGATTTGTGATAAGATCAACTCATATAGACTAATCTCATGATAATTAATAAACTATGGGACATAAAGGGTGTGGACATGGATCTCTAGAGTAATAAGAGCCACACTCTCATTCTCACCATCATTCATTCCCTCGTTCACACATTCACCTACGCTTCCATCCATACCCTATCATGTAGATGATTTTTTTTGTTAAAGATATTATTTTATGTCCCATGTCATGTATAATTAATACAATGCTCAATTGTCTTGTTGTTTGATGCTCTTATCATGTATAACTAATTTGATGATCATTTTGTCTTAATTTGTGCTGCTCAAAATACATCTCTTCTATAAAGAGCATTGTTTTTCACATGCTGTAAACATATCTTTCGTTAATTACATTTTCTATTATTCAGGCACAGACTGCCTTGAATGTCATAGAGAACAGAAAAAAAATTTGAAGAGAAGCTGAAAAATGCATATTTATAGGAACAAAAAATATAAACATGATAAAAGAGCTAAAAAATCACTTATTTGGATTTGGAAGGGGCGGGTCTTCTAATCTGTCTTTTGCGTTGTTTATTCAAGGGAAGATCTTCTAATGTGTAGGGGACTTTATATCCTTTCGCTGAAAGTAGCTCAATACATTGTGGAATAGAATTTGTGGGTGTGGGTATAAGTTCTAATTTTCTCTTTATCCACACTCATACTCACACCCACATCCTTAACACTGGCTTTCCTTATGCGATAATATTGATTGAACTGCATTTTATACGCACAAAAAAATACAAACCCAATAATTAGAAATTCTATGTTTTGTGAACACATCTTACTTTGGATAAAAATTTTTTTACAACCACCTCCTTACCCTCCCTCCACAAAGTTCGAAGGATCGGGTCACCATTGGATTATCTTTTTTTGAGAAAACTATTGAATCCCTTTGCTTTTTTTTTGTCTCTAGAATTTCAAGTTACATATCGAGTTGTGAATTGAAAAATCTAATTAAAAACAGTATAAGATAAACTATTGCTTTTGTAGATTTTATTGAAAGAATATAGAACTATTCCATGAAAAACTAACTTTATACAAGAGTTTAAGATTTTATTACATATTAAATGGAGAAAAAAAAAAAAAGAATAAATTATTCGATATCATAGTTGTTCCATATTAATGATATAATAAATTAAACCCAAAGACGAAATCTTGATATTTGAATATCAAAGTTGCTATTTGGAAAACGAGATTGAATCATTAAACGATATGATTCAACTTTTTCTTGAGAAATTATTCCATAAATATCAAGAAAAACAAATTGTTGTAATTGTTCAAATAATTGAGAAAGATCTTGTTCAAAAATGGTTACATGTTCATCTAAATAACAAGTATTGTATTAAATTTGGTTTTTTTTCCTTTTATAAACATATTTGAATTACATACTGATAGATTGGGGTGTTTGTAACAATTGTGTCCATCGGTTTTGTGCAACCCAATGAAAGTATCCCGATTTAAAATCTGGTCGAACTTTAATAATATTAAAGACAAAATGAATTAAATAAATTTAAATTATAAATAGATTTTTAAATAAATAAACACTTAATGATCAGAAAAAATTCTCTTCACTTTTTTTTTTTTTTTTACAAAATTATTTAAAACAAAACAATCTTATCTAATAAATATTCTTGAATGAAATAAAAGTTATATATATATATTTTTTTTTGTAGTTTTTTTATTCCGATTTTGATTATTTTCTAATCAATTTAAGCAATTTAAGAGGAAAATAAAAATTTTCTTAACATTAAATTTTATTCTTGACATATTAAATCCCTATACTATTCGTAAATTCATTGAATGTTTTTCAAAGAAAAAATAGTCAATTGAAGTTTAAGTCAAGCTTTTAGGATGTTCCTATTGAATCTTACAATCAAAATCAATGATTAAAAGTCAACAAGTAATCTTCTCCCTCTCTATTAACCCTCTTCTCACTCAGAAAATCTCATTTTGTCAAAAATATCGATTTTCAAGCTTTATACTTGGTTGAATAGCCTAAAGTTTCTACTTTCGAACGCACTATGATTTATCGATTTTAGCATGATTTTTGAGGAATCTACAGAGGACCTAAGAAAAAAACTCTCTAGAAATCTCGCAATAAAAAATTGATTCGAAAACTTAAATAATTCAAATACTTTAAGCACTTCTTGAAGATTCTAACAACGAAGAATATGATCAACATGTGCCCTCAGATGTTGGCCATACACCTTTGAACGCCTCCAAATCGTTTTCTTATATGTTCAGTACAGAAAAAAACTACTGAGTTTTTGATACTGCAAACTCATTAAGCGTTTTTCTCCAAATGGATTTTTCCGTTTTTTACTATTCTTATTTTAAGGATTTCTCGGTCACCTTACATGCTAGAAAGCTCGGTGAGGTCTTAAATTGAAGAGAAAATTGTGCTCTACAATTTAAGAGTGCAACATTTTTCATTTTTATCTTCTCGAAAAAAACTGAATTTTTGCGGTAGATATCCTAATTTTTCAGATTTTTTTAAGGTAAGTCTTCACCAGATGTAAGGAAACAAAATTTTGAAAAATCAGATCCTGTTAAGTTGTAGTGGCAGTTATTATCTACATTTTGACACCAATCCGAAATCTGTATCATTAGATTTGAAGGAGAAATCCTTAAAATACGGAAGCATACTCTTTGACCCATTGTATCAGGATAAATTCTGAATGACTCAATATTTTGGGCTGAAAATTTTTACTGTCAGCTACACACACCAGAGTACATATTCCCTGAAAGTTTCAGCCAGATCTCTTGTTCTAGGGCAAAGATAAATTTTTGAGTGGAAGCAAGGTACTTTAATGAGAACCAAAAATTAGAAAAAATCCTTTTTCGATCTTATCAAACAGGGTTGAAGACCAAACAGTACATCCGCTTCCCTCATCCTACTTCTCATTGTCAGCAAGATCAGACAGTAGCTTGATAATAAGAAAATAAAAGAAATAAATATTTAGAGCAGAGAAACAAACAAAATTGAGTATTTGTTTGATAATTATAAATCTTTGAAGAAAAACTTCTCCTTATTGGAAACATTTCAGATTACATATTTTATATATTACTATAAAATACCTCGCAAGGACAAAGAAATTCTACATCTTCGTTCATTATAGGTTGCATTAATAATGTTTTTAACATATATATTTATTCAAATAAGATAGAATTCCTATTAAAATGAAACTTATTTTCATAAGTTTAAACAAATATGATTTTTTTTTTTCTTTCACAAATATTAAACATAATATTATTATAGAAATATTAGTTTAATCAATGAAATTCTATGAAATTAATATTCAGAATTGAAATAAAAATATATTTCTTATTAATAATTGTGATTAATTATATTTTATTCAAAAAAAAAACAAAAAAAAAAAAAACTTACTTGTTGTCCAAGGTAAATCATCTGGTCTCCCAAGACGTAATGTTTGCAAATGAGGCATATAAGTACTAAGAAAAGGTACAAGACGTTTGCCAATATGAATTGATTTATTTGGACCATGATTACAACTTGGAATACCAAATTCAGCATATCGAACAGTAGCTAATGCATCATTTCGTAAATTATTGGATGCCTAAAAATTATATGAGAATATTATTTTATTTTATTTATCAATCAAGTTTATTTGATTTTTTATTATTTTATCTAATTTAATTTATTTTTTTGTCTCTTCAATATTCTTTTCAATGAATGCATTTATCACAAAAAAAAATTGAGTAATTTATTAAGAATTTAATAAATTCATTGGTAAATTAAATTAAATTTTATTCGTTTTCTAGCATTAACTGAACAAGTACTATTATTATTTCCCAAAATACATTTTTTTTTTCATTCAGAAAACATTAAATCTTTTTTTTTTCATAAGATCATATTAAATCTGATTGAATAATAATATCTTGAAAACAAAATCTTATAATAAAATATAATGTAAGAGTACGTTATCAGAAAAGATTTTGTTTAATTTCTTTAAAAATTCTAAAAAAAAATTTGACTATTTATTCAGTCAATTTAAATATGTATATTGAAATCAATTATGAAATATAGAAATAATAGGAGAAATCGATGCAAAAAACTATTGCACGATATGACTGTGTATCTGTTATGGGATCAAAGATGGGATGGATTCACCTTTTACTTTTGAACTTATAACAGACACACAAATATTCAACATTATCTGTATAGATATATTTAAAAATTTAAAATATAAAATCAAGACTTACATATTTAACAATATATAAAAGCCATTCAAATTTTTCAACAAGAAGATATTTAAGTTGAACACACATTGAAATAAGATGAGCAAATACTTTTGCACGTCTTTTATCTCGATATGTTAATTTACGACAAAATTCTAAAAATATTTTATTTATGTTAAAAGAATTTATTTTACAATAATAATATAAACAAATATTTTTATTTTCATAACCGGAGAAAAACACACGACTTTATTTATACTTCATTGATCCTTCGATCATGCTTACGAGGAAAGGTCACCAACTGATCAATCGCTTTTGAGTCGGAACTATGTGCATCATGTAGGTCCTAATGAGCTATGACCCTGAAAAGAGTTCGGACCGCTAGCTTATTATTGTCGAGATACTGCATTTTTGTGATATTTTTAATTAAGCACCATGCTGTAGTCCCCCTCAGGAACCAGAAAAACTGAGTTTCGAGTTTTGACTTGAAACTTTGCACAGAAATAGGCCTCAGTGAGAGTAGTTTATTGTTTCAAGTTTCAGATCTTTTGGTTGTTCCTATCCTAAGATACAGCTAAAAAGGGTGCTTTTACACTGCTCGTATACCCCCGACGGGTTCCAATATTCTTATTTCAGAATAGGAACAACCAAAAGATCTGAAACTTTCACAATAAGCTACCCTCATTGAGATTTGTTTCTGTGCCAAATTTCAAGTCGAAATTCAAAACTCAGTTTTGCTGGTGTTCCTGAGGGGGACCACGGCATTTTGTTTAAAAATATCGTAAAAATGCGGTATCTCGACAGTAATAAGCTAGCGGTCCGAACTCTTTTCAGGGTATTCATAACTCATTAGGACCTACATGATGCACGTAGTTCCGACCCAAAAGCGATTGATCAGTTGGTGACCTATCCTCGTTAGTTGTATCGTAGCAATACTGAAGAGTTCTATTACTTAGTAACAGTAATGGAAAATCTTACTAATTATTGAATAATGGATTATAGAAAAAGTATTCGATATCTTAAAACGGAATCGTTGATAACAATAACTAATTGAGGAAACAACAGAGAAGAATTATTATTATTATTATTATTGTAATAAATAAGAATTTTTCTTTATCAGAAACTTGACAATTTAATGACAACTGAGCAATCTAATTATACTACACTCACAGTTTAATTTTTATTTAGAGTAGGTAAAATGTATCGACTATTTAAATATTTTCAAATGAAATTGGTTTCGTTTTAAAGATATATTAAACAATTTTTTTTCGAAACAAGACAATCATATTTATTAGTAAATAACAAAAAAAATTTGTTGCATTTTTTATCAATAGAAAAAAAATTAATACATACCAATCGAACGAGAATCACAATCTCCGAATTGAAGTTTTGTAACATTTTGCAATCGAATATTATTTAAATTTCGCTGTCCCATTTCAAATGGTATTGTTAAAGGCTCTATAATCTTTGATTGATCAATGTATTTTTCTATATAAAAAAACTTTTCTTTCAATAAATACAATTTCACTAAAAACAACATGTGAACTCTATATCCCACGTATAGGTTATTTCCGAATCATCTCCTCTCTGCAACAACTATATATATGAGGATGCCTAGTCTGGCCGGATGCCCCAGTTTTTTTTTTATCGTCTTGCTTCTATGATATATCAGCAAAAGTTTGTTAGCACAGTCCCTTCGCGGCTGAAATGTGGAACTCACATATGTTCTCGAGCCTCATTAAACTAACACAAAATATGTAAAGTAAGAAACCTTTTCTAGACTATATAGTTGTTTTCCAGGATAATTGATCACCAGAGTAAGAGTTTCTCTAAGTTTTGCATATCGAACAGAAAATTTTTCATTTTTTCTATGGGCGTCTTATTTTTTCTTTTGCATTGTTACTACTCACTCATTAATTTTAATTTTTTTCAATTCATTTTTCTTAATTTGATATTCTTCTTATTATAATTATTGAATTAATTGTAAAGTAAGTCTATTTTACATATCCATCACATCTACAGCAGATCTTATGCACTATTATGTATTAATCAATGCACAAGCAATAATACTCATTATTTTAAAAACATTATAACTTGATCAATTGTTCAAAAAACCTAGAAAGTCTAACGCCTGTTATTCTCAATTGCTAGAGTATGTAATGGGGATATCTGTAATGGAAGGATCTCTGTAATAGGGAGGTGTCTGTAATGGGATTCTGCGCTGCTATGGTCTGTCATGGGGAGGGGTGCCGCAAAACTTCCACTTAAAACTTCCACTCACAATTTTCTTCGAAAATATGAGCTCTACAAAGTATGATTTTTTTTTATCGGTAATAGCACTCTTTTAATGCTGATGATCGGTCAGATTTTTTTTGAAGACTTTAATTATCTTGATTTCAAGCAAGGTATAGGTCCCTTAGATTTGACCGATCATCAGCATTTTATAAGTACTATTTAATGGAGGAAAACATTGTACTTTTGTACTTTAAAGTATATTGAAGTACAATAAATTACCATGAAGTATAGTAAAGTACTTTAAAGTACCATAAGGTACGTTAAAGTACAAAAGTGCAAAAGTACGATATTTCCTTCTTGATGCAATGTGTCAAATATAGATAACAGAATTTCGTAGGATTTAGACTATCAGAATGCCAAATCGAGCTAATTCACATAGGAAAAGTTGTGTTCATACACAAGTCTAATATTGACTTCTAATTCTTCTCGGCTATATTAATTTATATTCACACAAATAATAATAATAATAAAATAACTGCTTGTAAAACTGAATTAATATTTAAAAAATAATCTTCGATAAAATATTTCTTTTTTGGAAATAGATTGAATTAAACAATATGAAAACATATTTTTATTTTTCATATTTAGTTTGTTAAAATAAAGTAACTAATCTGAGTTCTCATATATAAAAGAATTTGAACAGTATTAATTAATATTTCCAAATAAAATGACATTCAAAATCAAAATTAATTTAGTAATATTCATTGAAATTTATCACTTTTTTATATTTTGATTAATAATAGATTTTCTTAAAATTATTCAGAGAATTATCAAAAAAAGAATGTTTACCTGTATGAATTATGATAGAAGAAACATTAGAACATAATTCATCGAATTGTTCGAGAAATAAATAAAATGATGGATGAAAATTAAGTTGAATACATCGAATATCTTGCCAATTATTTATACATCGATATTTACTAAATAAACAAATAAAGATAATATGAAAATATTTATTTTACAATTAAATAATATCTTACGATAAAGTATAAAAAAATTGAGATTTATTTTGTGTAGAAGAAAATATATATTGATATGATTTATTTTCATCATAAAAACATTCAACATTTGTCCATTGATGTTTAATAAAAAAAGAATTTATTTTAAATGAATCAATTATGTTTTCAATATCAACTAAAGATAATTGACGTTTTGAACGGATATAAAAATCAAAATCAATCAAATTAATTATTTTATCAGGTAAACAATATTCACGAATAAAATTTGCATCAATTAAACATTTCCATATTGATTGATCTGTTCTAAATACTTCGTTACCTTTTAAATAAATTTTAAGTTTTTGAATATAATTAACATTGTTAAGAAGCCATTTTAAATAAATAAATTCTAAATCATTGTAAATACGACTTTTTAATATAAAACATTTTAATTTTGGTATCTATATTTAAAAAAAATCAATTAATAAATTTTTAAATTCTTAATTTTATTGACTACTAAAATCGAGATACAAAAAAAAAACATTGAAAACAATCTATTCAAATTAATGCTAGTCTATTTATTTATTTATTTATTTTGAAATTAATCTTTTAACACGATAAACAAAATATTCTTCTTATCTCTAGTTAAACAAAATTAAATTACTATTACAATTTCATCTTTCTATTCTAAGAAACGATTGTATTTATAAAGGAATTGAAGCCTTTTTATTATACAAATGAATTGATTTATATACTAATTTGCTAATTTTATGTTTTGTTTAACTGTTTTTTAAATATTGGTAATGTGAACGTATAAAATGTGTTAAATAAATAACGATCCTTTTCCTGTTATCAAACAGCTTAATAATTTTATAAACAGATCATTTCGATATAAAATAGAAGAAAAATTAATTTTAATTCTCGAAAATTCATTTTTATGATAACACTAGCAGAAGTACCCGGCGTTGCCCGGGAAAGTTCAATCTTAATATATGTAAGCAAAACTCCTATTGCGCTCGAGAACATGTAAAAACCTAATCAGTGGGGAGTAGACACGCATAAAATCCTATTTTTTTGTCCCGGTCTTGGTTCTGACTCTTGGACATATTTTAAATCCCGACTCCGGGTACGCTTGCTCTGGACGGATATGAAATACTGATATTGAAAAACTGATCAGAGGTGAAGGATTCTTCGTCCTTACACGTCTAGATCGAGGAGAGCTCGATGAAACTTATGAGTTCTATCGACTTTTTATCTTGCTCAAGCATTTATAAGAGCACATACTTGTCTCGATCAGCCCCGATCTCAACTGACCCCGGTCGGGCTTGGTAACGTTCCCGGTTCTGGACCTGTCTAGTTGTGTTTTTAGTGAGGAACCCACATGGACCATCGATTCTTCGGCAGCGTTACAAGAAAAATCCGCTTTGATCGAAACTAAACACAACGATATATCTAATTGCTCTAGAACGGCGCATTCACAACACGCATTGATCGAGAGAATTACGACGATATAGCGTACTTTGTACTACTGGAATCACACTGAACGCCGATTGGTTGCAAAGAAAGACAGATAGAAAGATTTGTGTGGGACAGACCCTTTAGCAACCTAGGGAGTCGGTATCTATGACGAACAAATTTTGCGTCTCATAGACTATTTATTCGAAATCTCCACCTCACACGACCTCCAGAAAATCAATTTCCTCAAAACTCGATTTATATGTGACGTGAGTCACCCAGTAGAGCCACCGGTGCTCCAGTAGGGTATCGAGCTCAATAGACTTTCGATTCCTAATGTCCTTTCTCCGATCATCCAATGATATTCGTTTTCCCAAAAACTGGATTCCTATTGGTTTCGGGCTAATCAATCAGATTTTGAGGTGATTGGATCCCTAATTCGAACCTATCGCCTCTGAAAGCTCCTACCTGACTTTTTCCCCGAAAACGCAATTTTGATTAGCTGATTTCTTGGCAGCTGAATTGCTATTGATTGCGGGCCAACCAATCAGATTTTGAGGCGAATGGACTCCAGATTCGAACTCACCGCCTCTAAAAAATCCTATCTCATCGTTTTCCCCAAAGTGTAGATGTTTTCGCCTGTCTTCTTTGCAGCTGAATTTCTATTGGTAATCAGCCAACCAATCAGATTTCGAGGCAAATGGACTGCAGATTCAAGCTCAGCACCCTCGAAAACCCCTAGGTACATGTCTTGTGCTTGCCCACAACGTGCTGCTCAGTAGTTCTTCGATACTACCGAATGCTGCAATCTCATTGGTCAGATACATAGGCGGACCTTTTGCGGGCGGAGGACCCATGTTTTTTCGACAAAAAGTAGTCGTTGACCTTCCCCTGGGCCAAAGGGTATACCATACACAGTTTGGTCGCATGTGCTTGTACGGTGTGGATAAAGAACAGAAAAACTGGAAGAACCCCCTCGCCCCCTGGGGGGTGGAGGGCGCTGACCCCGTCTTGACCTTCCCCTGGACGAAAGGGTATAACATGCAAAGTTTGGTCGCATTTGCTCGTACGGTGAGGAAATGCATGAAGAACAAACAAACAAACACACAAACAAACTTTCTTCTTTATATCTATAGATTAACAATACAGATTTTCATTAAGTCAGGAAATGGAAATTTCAACATAGAACACAATCACACTCTAAAAAGAACGTGAGTACGAAACTCAAATGAGGTCCTAGAGCTGTACAAAATCTTTAAAAAAGTTCTTTCGCGACTTCACAGAAAGAAAAGTCACTCTCGAAATTCAAAGATTTTGAATCCACATACACCATATTGTTAATATCAACCGAACATGCAAAACGTTGGCAAGCAATAACATATTTTATAGATTTATTACAGAAAGTTTTAAAGGCTTTTCACACGCGTTCGAGAAAACTATTGAGAGGTTTCGTATCAAGGTTATTATAAAAGTTCAATCGTTCAGCATCACATGCGAGCGTTTCACAGGTTATGTTGAACCTAAGCTTGTAACGAAGCCAAAGTCTGTTTTGGTAGTCGGAATCGAACGATTCACGTTTGAGTTTTGTTGCAGGGTTTGGGAACTATTTAACCAGTTCAGACAGCATGAAGTATTTTACGTAATTACTCGAGTACTCTTTGAAGTATATGGGTGATCATGAAGCCACACTAAGTTTTGATTCTGTCTGGATTTGGGTATTTCAGAATACATTGGTTTTCTTTAAGGATGTCTGTGACTCAGGGTGTGGGTGTGGGTGGGTGTGTGGGTGCAGTTCTTCTGTTCACACATCGCCGACACCCGCACCCACCCCACACCCTCAACAGAAAGGAAAGTTAAACATGAAAATTTAGAATCATATTCGATTATAATTACATATACACCGAGCCTCAAGGTTGTTTACTTAAGACTCGATTGATATCTAATCGTAATAAGTTTTATCGAATTTCGATAGAGCTCGATTACTTCATTTCAGAGTCTACTGAAATCTTCTAATATTCATTGTAGAAACGTTTTATTCATTGCACATAAATGAAATTGAATAATACATCCTAGGCAAAAGTCTTTCCCTTCTCCCTAATCATATTTTTTTGTATGTTGAGCTTGCTTGTTCTTAAGTCAATTCTAATTATAAGAACGGCTTTATTACGTGATCTTAGTATCATGTATCATTGATTATGATTTGCTCCGATAAACACTATAGATCTTTCAGGATAATCAACCACCACTTTAAATAACCTAGTGACAAAATGCTCCATGATTGAGTTATTTCTTTTTTCAATATTTTCTGAAATTTTTTGCTGGTTCCAACTTATTAAACTCTCTTCGTTGGCGACTTAAAGCTTGGCCTAAGAGACAATATACTCGATCCTACAAATTAAGATAAACCAAAACCAGTAAAACATCCAGATAAATCGAAAAAAGTAATAACTCAGTCATGAAGCATTTTGTCAACTATGTCATTTGTAGTGGTGATTGATTATACTGAAAGACGTATAGTATTTATCGGCGCAAATCGTAATCAATGGTACATGATACTAAAGTGAAGTACTTAAGCCACCCTTATAATTAACATTGACTTGAGAACAAACAAGCTCAATATACAAAAAAAATGATGGGGAAGCCGAAGACCTTTGCCCAGGGGTGTATTTCTCTTTATTGTCTACTGATTTTATGTTGTTTTTCATTATTCTTATACATTTGATATTTTTTTTTGCTTTTTATTCATCAATTCAATGAGTTAATAGAAAATCACTTCAATACTCATTTTTCGGCAAATTGATGAAACGTGAAAATATCTATTCAAACTATTACTCATTTTCTACTTACATTGTCCATCGATGACGTATTGTTTCTGTCTTAATCAATGACAGTAATCAAGAAAGATCTATGATATCTTTAAAGTAATTATTGATACTAAGGAAGTTACTGTTTCTATCTGACAGAGATTATTATTTTTGATTTCAGCACTAAATTATTTTCTATGTGGTACACATCTGATTTCTCAATATTAAATCAACTTTACTCAAACTCAAGTAGATAAAATTTAAAAACTGAACTAGATTAGCATGAAAGGTTATGGCAAAGGTTGAGAGTAGGAAAGATGGTGTGTGAGGATGACGGTAAAGATGTGGTTGGATATTGATAAGTTGTTGTAATCAGTCACACTGATGTCCGACCCAAAAAAAAAGTGCTCGAAAAATTTTACGATCGAAAGCATTTGTTTTTGGTGATCCAAAATATTCTGACCCATAAATTAAATATTCTTTATCTAAAAAATGTTACAATGTAATAAAGATATTGTTTAGTTATCTTTATTGAGTCATCTTCAACTAGAGTCCGTCGTGCTGGTCCCGATTCTGAACATTTTCTGTTCATCCGGAACTGGTCCAACTCAACGAATACTACTCTAAAAAAAGGACCAATTATAACTTAATTTTTCTAAGATCGCCCTCAATATTGTTTGAGAAATGAGTAGAATGTGTTTCAGAACGACTATTAAGTGCAGATTAGAAGTTTTCATTGGATATCACGAGTGCGATCAGGTCCGAGTCCAAAAAAAAATTCAAGTAACCGAATCCGGATGATGATATTAAAAATATTCAAAAATCGGATTCAGGTCCGAAACTTTTGGACTCGATGTGCTTTATCTCCAACACTGACTTTCGAAAGTCAGCGTTTTTTTTTCCATTGTCTTTGTCTTGCTTTTTATGCACAATAAATAGTTTTTGATAGAAACAAAGATTTACGTAAGAGATTGAATTAAACAAAACAATATTTCATAAGATAGATTTCTACAATAATATTATATTTGTCTTACTTTATAAAACCAATTTTCATTTGATGTTGTCAAATTTTGAATATTTGAATAAGATTGATTTAAAACGTTTAGTGAATGTCGAAAACAAACTGTTAATTGTTCGAGATTGGGTATATGTTCAATAAGATGTTCAAGAAAACATGTATATTGAATGCGAATGTGCAAATAACGTAAAGTTAAACAATTCGATTGAAATAGATTATCAATTTTATTTGATGATAAATTCAAAGAACGTGATTTTATACATTGATGAGTATCAGAATATGATTGACTTATATCAAGTTGAAGAGATATTAACTGACATTCACCAGAAAATATTATACATAAAAAATATTCCAACATAACTATTAAGTTTTCTATTTAATTATAACAAAAAAACAAATAAAATAAATTTCTATGATGAAAATTTCAACTTAAATTATTTTTGCTTTAAAAATTTTCAAGTTGAAAATTCTTTAGTAAAATAATTTCATTGGATTAACAGAAAAATGTCGTCAAGAACTATGTTCTCGATTAGGAGAATTCTCAAATTTAAAAGTAAATGTAAAAAAGAAATAATCTTATTTTTCATTTAGACTAGTCAAAATTAGATAATTATTATCGAAAAATACAAATAAACAATCGATAAAGAAACTCAAAAGTCAGAAAGCAAAATGAAAAGAAAGTTGAATAACTTGAAAGCTATCAAGTCAATGATACTTCAATGCACTATCTTTTGTTAAGTCTTAATTAGAAATAAAATAAACGATCTTTTTTACTGCTCATAGTACATCTGCCTATTGCTTAGTCATTCTTGTTTAAGTCTAAGACACTATAACAAAGAACGAAGGCGAATAAAATCATTCGCATGTTCTGAATATAATTATTTAGCTTTCGTTTATTGAAATCAAATCACCGTCTAATTCTCATTTATAAAACAAAGGTTTAAAATGATAATTAATTGCTAGTTTTACTTGAATACAGAAAAGTGAAATATGTCTAAAGGGTGAAAAAGCGATCTTATTCATATGATTAATTAATCCAACATATAGAACAAACTAATAATTTGTAAATTCTCGAAAAATTCGAAGTGTTAATTTCATCTTGAAATTCGAAAACAAAAACTTGAATAAAATCTCATAACTATTTTATACAAGAGAGAAAATCTAGTATTTGTCGAGTTCTTTTTAATATATTTATTATATAGCTAATGAATTATTTTTATAATTGACAATTCTTTTATTTTTTTGTTGAAAATGTTCTAAACTGAAATATTTTCTTTTTCAATATATTTAAAATAAAAACTTGTTATCTTTTTCTTCATATTTTCAATGAAATTCAAAAAATAAATATTCAGTTTTTCCTTTCTGGTTATTTTAAATGTTATTATTCATTAAATTTTATGTTTCAATGATAATATCTTACGAGAGAACATTCCCAAGTGTCACATCGCTTTTGAGTCGAGAGTATGAGCATAACGTCGATCCCAGTGAGATATAAAAAACCACAAAAGGATAAGTGCCCTTATGTCTTCTATCCAGAGTTATAGGCATTTTACTGGAATTTTACCCTCTGGTATAGTAATTACGAACAAATCGAATGGCGGTATTTCGACCTGAGATTTTGCCCATAGATAGGTCTAGTTGTGAGTAGGATATCCTGAAAATTTCAGCTCAAAAGAATGTTTCCTTTCAGAGATATTAAAGTCTCAAAAATCACTCATATACCACGGAAGATGCTAGAATTTTCTGTTTTTTAGGAACTTTAATATCTCGGGAAGGAAACATTCTTTTGAGGTGAAATTTTCAGGGTATGCTACTCGCAACTAGACCTATCTATGGGTAAAATCTCAGGTCGAAATACCGCCATTCGATTTGTTGGTATTTACTATGGCACATAGCTAAAACTTCAGTAAAATGCCTATAACTCTGGATAGAATACCTAAGAGCACTTATCCTTTTGTGGTTTTTCATATCTCACTAGGGTCTACGTTATGCACATACTCTCGACTCAAAAGCGATTTGACACTTGGGAATGTTCCCTCGTTAGTCGATATATCACTAGTATACAAATCAATTGTTAATAAATTATCTTACATCTATTCAACTAAATATATAATTATCATGATAACAAATCTATTTGTGTATCTGTCTCGCCTAAAGAATCTTTAATGATGACCTAGTTCTGGTTTGTTCAAATATTTTTCTACGAAATAATTACATTTGGTAATAGTAAATATGTGTCATTACTCATAAGTACTTCCAATAGTTGTTGAATCAATCATAAATGTATAATCCATATTTTATTGAAGTTATTTATTCTGTAAAAGCGATTTAAATTCTAATGAAAGAAATATCTAGTGTTTAAATGGATGAAGCAATATCCTTCCAAAAACTCATAATAAAAAGGAAATACTATTGAGAATCATAAAGCATACCGACAAATTAGCTCATCTGATTATTCCATCTCTCTATATATAACAGTATTTTAGTAATAGTGAATAAAATCTAGTCTTGTTTTGAAAAAATTTATTGAGTAAATAATTACTTCTATTAGATATACATGATGAATCTTGGTCTTTATATCCAAATGATTCAAATACAACTTTGTCAAATGTTAATTTAAGTTCATTTAATTGATATTGAATAAGTAAAGATAATTTTTCAATTAATGATTTAGATAATAAACATTGAATAATATTTAATGATTCAAGATTAGGAAAGCGAAAACTTTCTTTATTATTATTATTATTAAAAAAATATTGATCAATAAGATCATATGAGTTTGAATCGCTACCATTTAAATGAATATATTTAATAGAAGAACAAAGTAATGATGATTTAAATATTAATGGTAATAATATTTTAGAAATTTTTTTATAAGATAAACCTGGTCGATTAAAAATAATTCCATTTTTATTTATTGAAAATATTGAACAAATAAGAGAACTAATACGTTTATTTAATGACCATAATGATATTAAAATTTCATCCCATGATAAATAATTAAATATAATTAAAAATATTTCATTTGGCAATGTTTCCAATTTACTTATCATTTTATCTTAGAATAAATATAAATGTATTTTATTTTATTCAAAGTTAGAATATAATTATTTATTTATTTAATCAAAATTTTAAAAAAAATCTTATAATGACTAGATCAAGAAAGTATTTAATTTAAATATGAAATATTTATTTTTATTTTAATATAAAACAAAACAATTATCATTGTAAGAACTAGAAAGAAAGAAAATATTACTTTACCAAATAATGAATTGTTTTATTTTTAAATTCTTTCAATTGAAAAAAATAGTAATGATAAACTATTTTATTTTCTTTAATATTTTTTGGCATTAAACAAAGAGAAAAAACATTCATTGTGATATACAATGTTCAATGCTTAAAGTGTGTCACATTTCTTCTTCTAATGTTTGCCATCCTCGAGAAAAATATATTCTTAATTCATTTTTTTTCTTCACAAATGAATTAATTTGACGAAAAAATTCATATCCGACGAATATAACGTACTGTCTAGCGGACGACTTTTTTTTTCTTTGTTAAGATATTTTCGTCCTTCAATCTTGAGTTGAAAGAAAAAGACAATGAAGAATATACATAAAGAAGAGAAAATGAAAAAAATAATGATCTTTTATTTATTTCTACATGTCCATTAATTTAATAAGGGACATTTTTTCCATCACTTTGAAAACCCAAATATAAAAGAGAATGATAATGATTTGCATGTCATTTTTCGTCAATTTATTTAACAAATGATATATCCGCTGTATGATTTTTATTTAAATATCATTTTGTACTGAAGCATTTTTCTTGATAAACAATTATTTCCATAAACGAGACTATGCAGTTCTTTTTCAAATCATTCATGTCCTATATATAGATTGGTTGGCAAAGCACTGTTTCATGCGAAAACTGCCAATCAATGGATATTTTGATGCATTGATCTAAGGTATATGATGAATTCATAGAATTGAAAATTATTCACTCATAATAGATTCCTCGATCTATCGGAAAGGTGCACTCTCGTGAGGTCGATTTGGCGTTTCGATGCCCATCGAAAGACCTATCTCGATAGACGAAATGGCCAAAGGTCCGAGAGATCCATATTCCGACCCTTTAGAATTTTTCCTAAATTTCAAAAAAAATTATTTTCTGTATGAGTTCTTTTTTGAGTCGTCAACATCCATCGGATATTTTCGCGAAAGAGAAAATTCAAACATATGTACTTATGATTATGGAGCTTGTATAGATCAAACGAACGAAGCATGCCGTTTATTGGCGAGAAACCTGTGTTTCTTCATGAAATATATGTATAAATTAAAGTTCTCCTTTCAATTTTTATTTAATACATAATTTTGACTAATTTTTTTTTCATAAAAATATATGTATAACGTGCTATTCTGAATAATTAACGATGCAAATCTGTTTATTTAAACATTTTTTTTGTATACACACAAGATATATGCTGAAACAAAAAGTACATTATATTTTATGTATATATGAAAAAAAATTAGTTAGAAAATATTAAACTTAAGATGACGATAAATGTCACTTCGCTGATGTGTTCAAGATTAGGATATTTAACTATTCGAATAGCTTTGGAGGCTAAAAAAAATAGCAATTGAAAATTATCTCAACGATTTGTTTTGCTATTGAATATTTCAAAACTAGTGTGTTTTTCTAGAGCTGGAAAATTATTGAAAGTTCAAAAGCTAATAGTTCATTGTGATTTACTTTTCGTCTAGAATGTACACATATTTCTTTAATGATTCTCGCTCTAGACGATAAATACTTTTATGTATATATCATGGCGAAGCAGCTTTAAACATACTTTTATGATCACAAAGAGACATGAGCACTGCTTTGGAATATATGACAAAAGTGATTGACGATACTCAAATTGCCATTCTAGCAAATAATGAAATTTTGACAAGCAGATGGAGTGATTTCCTGCATGCCAGACAATTCTGATTGACAACTTGAACAAGTTTCATCAAATAGTATTATAAAATCTCTTGAATTACTCAATAATACTCCAGTATTGTATTCAAAAAAAGAAAATTTTCGCCGACTATGAAGTATTTCAATCAGGTAATCGATATTTTCAATCAAAATTCAACCTCCGATCGATTTTTTACCCGAACAATTCGAAAATATAATGGTACATATCCATCATTTACGTCAATTAAAATCATAAGGATAATCAATCTTATAGTAACAACTGTTTGATAGAGTCACAATTTGTATTACAAATAGATTTTTACTTTTTTTCTTCCGTTCTTTTCCCGTAGTTATGGTCATCATAATATAGTATCGTTTTCTCGTCTTTTTCTATTTGATGACGTGTACTTTTTTGTTCTTTCTTTTTCTCCTATACTTTTTATTTTATGACATGTTTTGAAAGCTCATTTTTTCAGCACGTGTCTCATATTATATTCTATCAGAATTGCACAATCAGTTTGTCATAGATAATTTTAAAATTTGAATAGAGTACAAAAAGTAAATATGTCTGTTTCACTACTTTACTTGTAGTTTGACACAAAGCAAACAGTAAAAATTGTTAACTTTATTAATTTCAGATGAATAATTATGTTCTTACGACACTTGAGTCTCTTCCAAATGAGATATTATTGGATATTTTCAAACTACAAAGGTTACTAGAGCGATTATCGGCATGGTATAACTTGAACAAACGTTTCAATGATTTACTCAGACAATTTTATTCAATAGACTTATCCAATATATCTTACGAGCATTTTTTAATCTGTTCTACATTAATGACTAGTCGTCAGCAGGAAATTTTGTCATTAAAATTATCAAATGTTGATAATATTGATCAAATATCTTTATTTCTTGACAAATTTTCATTGGAAACCTTTTTCAATTTGCAATCATTATCACTGATTCAAATTAAGCCTAATCAGCTAAATGATTTAATCTATAAGATCGGTAAATTACGATATTTATCAAGCTTAATTATTGACTTCCAAGGAGGATATGATAGAAAAACTGTAAAATCTGATGTAATTTCATCAGCGTGGTTTCCATTGTTTTCCGGTGTCATCAATAGGATTGAGTACAATTGGTCAAATATCGGCTTGCTATATTCGAATTTAACATCTTTGAATATAAGTTCATGTATTTATATTGATCAATTTGTCCTGCTTCTTTTTTCTCTTCCAGATTCTTTAACAAACTTATCGATTCGAGTTACAGGTATGAATCAATATCGTACAGATATAACACCATTGTATGATCTATCTGAATTGAATATGGATTTAAAAATTAAACAATTATCTATTGCTTTAATATCAAATGTGTCGTTTAGTGATTTTAAGTTTATAATGAATTCATTCAAACAATTGAGGAAATTATCAACGGAAATGTCTTGTCACGGGTCCAGGAGCATCACTGAAGATTGTTTAAATAGTCACGAATGGGAACGACTGATTTCAACATATTGTCCGAATTTATATGTATTTTATTTATGTGTTCACTTAAACGGCAGAGAACTTGACGAACAAATACTACTTTCATTCAAAACTGATTTCTGGTTAAATCATCATTGGTAAGGACAAGACGAGGAGACTCTTTGAAGATATATTTTTCACTGTTTAGGTTTGTTACTTCTGAATATGATATGCTCCACACAGTACCATATATAAACAAGAGGTTAATTTGGGATACCTCGTCTAGACATACAACGATATTATCTTTCTTTGACACTTTAAACGTATATGATCGTGTAAAAAGGTTGATATTGATGTTTGATGTTGTTGTTCCATGGACACGTAATACTAAATTTTCAGTTATTTTTCCTAATGTCACTGTGTTATCACTATCGTTCAGAAGTGATTATATAAGTGAGTATGATGAGAGTGATGATATTAATGTCGTACATGTGTGCATGGAACCGCCCCATTATATCTTAGTTTATATCTTCTTAACAAAAGCAATCTCATTATCAAAATTACAATCATTGACAATACATCAATTGCTACCAGAAAAGTATTTTATTCAATTACTTTATCGAATGCCAGATTTGACAAAACTTACCCTTCACCGATGGGAAGGTTGTGCTTTTTGAACCATTTTTATAGAAAGATATCACTTAGAAAACTTTTTTTTTCTACATTTTAGGTCTCTTCGAGAGAGATGAGATTCAATTCATGTCTCATAACAAACACTTATTCCAACATATTCAACATCTCACTCTAAATGAAAGCATCATGAACACAGTCACTATAGATAATGTTGAACAACTTATTTATACATTTAAAAGCTATCGACAATTGAAAACCTTACATATCCACATTCGAAATGACGAATTATTTCCCATTGTGCTATTACTGTTAACTGATATGAACTTCTTGTCATTCCTAAGCATCAATTCATATGGATTAAAGGAAAATACTCATCTTTTACGATGGTTGCAACACGTATTGAAGGGTAGACAATATGGGATAAATCTAGATGACAAGTTATTATCAATTTCATTTTAATGTAAACTTGACGATATGATTTGTTTTTATTCAAGATTTATTTTCCTAATAAAATGATTTATTGAATAAGAATATTTCTGTCTTGGATGATATGCATATATCATTTATCAGTGATTATTGTTCCATTGATAGAAATGATTGAGTTGTCATTTATGGTATGATGTTTGCCAATATGTTGATTAATGATATCATCTGAAGAATGATGAATCGACAAATAGACGTAGAAGATCGTAGATAAAATCAAGTTGAGAAATATTCAAAGTAAAACAAACAAATATCAAAAGATTTATAAAGGTTCTCATAGCTTATGACAAAGATATTTTTCATCTAATTCAATTTTCCATGATTCTGCCATGTATAAAGAAAGTATATCAGTAGATATTTTGTCCAACGGTATTTATGAGATAGAATCTGGAAAGCGCAATGAACTGCATATAGTCATGGTTGTTCCGAGAGAGAAGCGGCTCATCGTTCAAGCAAGATTGAGAGTGATCATGGCGACAGAAATTTTCTCACCACTCTGAAAATACCATGCG